TTTGGAACATTATTTCTTACATCTTATTACACGCTATGCATCATCAACTTTGCTTGGCTAAAATCTATGTCTGTGATAGCGTTCTTTCGGGTCGGTTTCTGTTCATGCCTGCCGTGCATCTCGTATTTGCCGCCTCCTGCTGCCAATGCTTGGATTTGCTATTCCTGGCCAGAGTATATTTTTGGATATAATATATATTATATAGTATAGCCTCAACCGATCCTGGCTCTCGACATGGATATACATATATGATATATGGGTAACAACATACATACATACACATAGAGAGTAACAGAGAGAGCGAGAGAGTTCTGGCTACTATTGGATATTGAATATACTGGATATTGATATTTTAGTTTTGGCTTATATCTTCATCTTCATCTTCAACTTCAACTTCATCTTCTTTTTTCTCTTCCGATTCGACTCGATCTATTTTCATTCGGAGCTGCCACCGCCTGCGCGCCCGTTCTCTTCGCCACGTCCGCCGCCCAGTCCACCTGCCCCGCCAGTCCATTATTCCTCGCCGTAGCCGTCGCCGTCGTCTCCATCTGCCAACGATGCACTGCTCATTTGGGCAATCAATGTCATGGCATCCGTGACATCCATGGTATCCTCTGGCATGACCGGCTCCTGCTCCTGGTAGCTCACATAAACGAGTCCCAGGGCACACAACTCGCCGTTGGCCGTGTCGTAGTAGGTGACCGAGTTGACCAGTTCCTCGTTATTGTTATAGTAGTGCATGGCCTCATCCATGGGGACGGGAAGTGAAATGGTTGAGGGATCTGCATCGAAAATGGGTACCATCATGGTTGTTGGGTCAGAAGTTATTGGAACGGACACGGCCAACACAGCTGGATAGGCCGTAATTGTTGCCGGCGGAGTGGAGGTGGCGGCGGCCGATGGATAGGTGGCGACTGGGAAGTAGACCGGCACTAGGTAGTCGGAGGAGTTGGATTGGGATAATATCTGGTCGTAGCTATTCTGGTGGCCTACGACGGGCGGTGGTTCGTACTGAATCTGCTGAATCTGCTGGTGCAGTTGCTCTGGTTGTTCTTGTTGGGGCTGTGGCGAGTGCCATTGCCTACGGGATGCGGCTGGCTGGGGAATCGGCTGCAAATCGGCAATGGCAGCATGAACACTTCACCTGTGAGATGCAGCTAATATCGTGTAAAGAAATTAATGGCGTTTTTAGATAAATTTCTGTGCATGGTTATATGGATGCGGTTTTTGAGATCGTGTTGTTCTATTTGATCTACCTCTGTGCGCCATGTGGTGGAAGCCACCACCGCCACCGCCTCCATTGCCGCCGCCGCCTCCACCACCGCCGCCACCACCACCGCCGCCGCCTCCATGGATGGGCATGCCCATGCCCATGCCCATTCCCATGTTCACGCCCATGCCCATGTTCATGCCCATCGGGTGCATTTGCTGCATGTGGTGTGGATGCGGACCACCCATGTTGTGGTGGTGATTGTTGTTGTTGTTGTTGTGGTTGTTGTTGTTATGATGGTGGTTATTGTGGTGATTGTTGTTGTGGTTGTTGGGATGGTGGTGCTGCATGTGGTGCAGCGGCGGATGGTGATGCGGATGCTGGTGCGGATGCTGTTGCTGATGGTGATGTGGCGGCATATGCGGATTATGGTGGTTGTTGTGATGGTGGTTATTGTGGTGATGCGGCGGCTGCATTGGTCCACCGGGACCCATGTGCGGCGGGCCACCGCCTCCACCACCGTTGCCACCTCCGATCTGGGACATAAACTGGGCCGCCTTGGCCTTGCCATGCTCCTCCGCGAGTCGCACCCAAATTGGCTGCGATCCGCCCTCCGGCACCGTGTTGTTCAAAGCCTTGATCGCCTCCTGAGCCTCCTCGCGCTTGTTGTAGCTGCAAGTGAGAGATAATAGTTTTAGAATGGGAAACTAACTTAAGAGTCACACTAATTGTAGGTTGAAAGTAAACAAAGCTATACTTTGATTCACATTGGAATAAAAATCACTTCGGTATGTGAATCTACATATCGATCATATACTAGAAGAAAAACTATTTTTGCTTTATTGATGCAGAACAGAAAATGTATATATTTCATCATCATACACAGAGTATGACAAATGCAAAAGTTGTGATCGCTTTTCTAGATGACACGCGACATCTTTAAACGCGTTGATCTCGAAATTCTCTTCTATGAGATAGGTCACTCTTCTAGTGATATTTAAAATTGAGTTGCAATCTAGTTTTTTAAAAGATTTGTTAATCTGGTTTTTGATTTTGTACACAAATTTAAACAACACTAGCCGGATCTGAAATATAATAACAATATTGCCACACAATATTTTTCCTCGTCATGGTATTTTTGTTTACCAGGTTTTTAGTTTAGGTTTTAAACGTAAAAAAAAGTATGAAATGTTTTAATTTAAAACCAACTTATTCAGCACTTATAACTAGAAGTAGTTTTTAAAACCAAAAAACCGTACGCGAACTCGAAGGTTTGAGCCTACTCTTAATTAATAATAATTTGTTGGCATCACAATGTTTTTAATCAAAATACTTTGTATCTCATTGTTTTTTTTAAGATTATAATCGCTTAATAAGCACAGCAAAAAGTTGCAACGTTTCACTAGTTTAAATGTCACTATTCTACACCACTTATATTTTTACACTGAAACTATTTCACAAGCAAATCGGAAAGCGCACTTTTGTTGGATGAACACAGATTTTAATCAAAACAGGTGATCCGGAAATCAAAGTGTAATTTTCCTGCATAAATCTGGGCCAACCTGGATGCTAAATCGGAAACGTTGACCTATTTTTCGATCATCTCGCAGCTCGTATCCCATTTCCCGATTCCCGTATCCATACTCACCGCACAAAAGCAACGCCACGCGGGCGTCCAGTGAGCTTGTCCCTCAGGATGTTACGCTGGACAATCAGGCCGAAGGGCGAGAAGATGCGGTCGAGCATGTCGTCGTTGATGTTCCGCGAAAGGTTGATGACGTACAGATTGGTATCCTTGATGGACTGCCCACCAGGTCGGGCATACGAGACCTGTGGGCGGGTAGCAACAAATACAAAAAAGAGAGTCATACACGGGCATACGAAGGGGATGCAAACGAACCCACCTTTAATCGCTTGTTGCGCACATAGAAGCCGTTCAGCTTCTGGATGGCGTCCTCCGAGTCCGACTCCGTTTTGTAGTCCACGAAGCCGTAGCCGAAACTATATCCGGTCTGCTCCGTGGGCGTTCATGGAAGAGGAAAGAGGTGGAATAGGAGAGGCGTGGGTGAGCATCCAGATTCGTGTGTATGCAACGTGCGACAGGGATGGCACCTGTGACGTGCAGTTCACCCAGGCCTGGTAACCCATGGCAACCAGCCCACCTGGAAAACCAGGGGACCTGGTGACCGAATCCCCAGGTGAACCCGAGCTCTTACCTTAAAGTCGCGCATTATCTTGCAGGTGTTGATGGGCCCGCAGCCGCTGAAAAGGTTGTACAGCTCCCGATCGGTCATGTCCTGGGGCAAGTAGTTGATGATCAGATTGGTGGCACTGGTGCGGTCCATTTGCTGCTGCTGCTGCTGCTGTTGTTGCTGCTGCTGCTGCTGCTGGCCGGAGCTGTTATTGCCGTCGTTACCCTGGCCATTGTTCTGCTCCTCATCACCGGACTGCTCCTGGTTATCGCCATCGTTGTTCCCATCACCGTCACCGTCCTCCTGCTGCATGTTGCCATTGCTGTCCTCGTCCTCGTCGGTGCCCTCATCACGGCCAACATTGTCGGCGGACTCCTGCAGGGGGAAAAAAGATATCGGATATGAAAACCAGGACATGAAAATCAGGGCTCTTAGGCCAGAAAACGCACCTCCAAGTCGGATGACTGCTCGTTGTCGTGTTCCTGGCCCTGCATATTCTCCGAATTGGACATCTCCTCCGATTTCAGCCTTCAATAGCTTCTGTTTATCTGGAGTTTTAGTTTTAATGCGTTTTTGCGTCGCAGTTCGCGCCACAAGCTGCAACGATAGAAAGAGAGGGCAAATCAATTAGCTGTTAGGCTGCAGAAGTCAATTTTAGAAGTTTCGTGCGAGCTGAAGACCGTGTTGCGCGACTGCAGGATGCGGATTGAGCGCAGCTCTGGACTCAGGAGCTCAGGAGCCCAGGACTCCGGACTCGGGACTCCCGGAACTGCAGCGCGCTCCTCTCGGCAAAAGCCGAATATGTGTGTGTACATCTCGGGGCAGCCGAGTGGCCTAGGAGAGCGAGAGGGATGGCGCGAGATTAGCTGGAAAGTGGATGCACCGCGTTGCACCGACGACGTCGTCGACGACGACGACTACGACGACGACCCCTGCTGGGCGCCCGGGAATTTTGTGTCCCGGGAAAACCCAGTGCAGGCCAAGGGCTCCCTGCTCCCTGCAAAACTAAAATAAACAACAAAAAAAAAACAACGCTACTGGAAGCAAAAAAAAAAAACGATACCAACACGAAGTGCACTCATACATGCGCACTCGCACAAACACGCACGCATACACGTACACGGGCAGCAGTGTGTCAGTGTTAGTTGGCTTGGGGCACCATGCAGGCTGAAAAAAAAGCAACACGGAAAATGCGTGGAAAACGCGGCGACCGCACGGGAAAACCACCGGGGACCACGGAAAACTCTTGGCGCACCACGGCAAACGCACAATACTCACTTTTCAGCAAACAGCTTCACTAACTGCACCGGAAAACAGCGGTTTTTGTGCACTTTTCCTCAAGAAACGCTAATGCGGCAGAGGTGGAGAATCAGCGATGGACCTATCGATGCTGCGATGATTTTTCTTCAGCACCACACATCGATTGGCTTTGCGACTATCGATATTTGGCAGTGCCAGTGGAATACACTGCACGAAAAGGGAAATGACTTCGAATTTCCCTTTGAAATTTTGAATTGGGATATATTGTACCAGGAGGACCATTTCAAAAAACAAAATTTTTGAATAGTAATATAAAATGTGTGTTTAAGGCTATTATATTTGTTTTTATTTATATTTATTTTGTACTGGTTTTATTATAATAGATAACTTAATAAAACAGTTACAGGCAGTCTTTAAAGTCCTTATATAGTTGTTCGTGCATATTTTTCATCTCAATCAAATACGGTAAGAAGACTGGGTTAAGACCAACTTGTGGTTCGGCGGACATTTCATTTATGATAATATCTAACCTGTCCATCAACACCTGTTGTTCTTTGAACATTGAATTCAATGTGATTTTTTTTGGTGAATTTGATTTTAATTCAATACCTCCTTTGATTGGCGACATTGATTCAAATTTAATATCTTGTTTAATTGGCGAAATTGATTCAACTTTAATTTTTTTTTTAATTGGTGGAGTGGATTTTAGTTTAATGTCTCCTGTTTTCGGGTTCAGGTTTTTGGTGAATTCCGTCTTAATTTCAAGGAGAACATTCTTAATTGGTGAATTTGATTTTAATTCAATACCTCCTTTGATTGGCGACATTGATTCAAATTTAATATCTTGTTTAATTGGCGAAATTGATTCAACTTTAATTTTTTTTTTAATTGATGGAGTGGATTTTAGTTTAATGCCTCCTGTTTTCGGGTTCAGGTTTTTAGCGAATTCCGTCTTAGTTTCAAGGAGAACATTCTTTGTTTTCGTAAAGACGTCGTTAATAAAGTATTTATGTTCAATTTGCATTCCTCGAACGGCATGTTGAACTTGACTCTCTCCTGCGAAAAATTGATCCCACAGCAGTTCCAGTTTAGTTAGGCGCTCCTTATAATATCCAGGTTTCGATTTTCTTCCCCTGGAGTCTTTTTTGTAATTTCGAATGATGCTCTGAATCCGTTCACCCAGTTCCAGTTGATCTGCCAGCAAGGAATTAATGCTTGAAGAGTCCATTTTGAGCTGACCAAATTTGCACTGCGCTAAAATAGAAATAATAAACTAAATGAGTTCACAACAAAGGATATCTTTGTACTGAAATTATTGGGATGAAAGGAGGTTTATATATTCGCTTTTTGAATTTTTTTTAAAGAGGTTTAGGTAAGTAAAATAAGGAGGTAACATTGGTCAGGTAAGTCGTATTACCTGGTTTAACATGCAGATGGGAAACAAGTATGGGGATTTATGACGGTTTTAGAGGTCCAGGTGTAGGTGATCCAAATGATAAAGTAATGATAATTTTAGGTACGCTCTTTAATTTGGGAAAATGTGCTTGCAGATGCACATCCGCATTGCAGTGCAATTCAAAGGAAAAGGATTTTTTAGCGCTTTACTGCAGACACGAGAAGATTGTAGAACGAGCTTTTGAAACACTCGACCAGTATATATGCGGCATATTTAGGGAATTTTCTTAGTTTTACAAGGTGGTCACACCACACCACTCACGTTGCAAAAATATTCCCCTTTAATTTAAGTATGGGGTTTCATGACGGTTTTAGAGGTCCAGGTGTAGGTGATCCAAATGATAAAGTAATGATAATTTTAGGTACGCTCTTTAATTTGGAAAAATTCGCTTGCAGATGCACATCCGCATTGCAGTGCAATTCAAAGGAAAAGAATTTTTTAGCGCTTTACTGCAGACACGAGAAGATTCTAGAACGAGCTTTTGAAACAGTCGACCAGTATATATGCGGCAAATTTAGGGAATTTTCTTATTTTTATAAGGTGGTCACACCACACCACTCACGTTGCAAAAATATTCCCCTTCAATTTAAACAATAGCAGCTGGATTTACGTAAATAACTACCGAAACATGTCCACTGTGAGCGCCGCCAGCGGCAGTAATGCACCCAGTCCGCCGGAGGAGGCCGCTTCCGTCCGGCCGGAGCCGATTTTCCGGGAGATCAACGCGGAGCAGGCCGACGAAGTGGTCGAAATCGAGTCCGCCTGCATGAGATGCTTCGAAACGGGCATCACCCGGCTCCTGCCCACCAAGATACCCTTCTTCCGCGAGGTGGTTCTCATGTCCTTCAAGTGCGACCACTGCGGCCACATCAATAATGAGATGCAGTCGGCGTCGGAGATCCAGAAGTCCGGCATTCGCATCGAGCTGCAGGTGCAGTCCGTTGCCGATCTCAATAGGCGGGTGGTGCGATCGGATAACTCCAGTATGAGCATACCGGAGGTGGAGCTGGAGATACCCGTGCAGTCGCAGAAGGGCGAGGTGACCACCGTCGAGGGCATCATCGAGCGGACGATAGCCGGCTTGTCGCAGGATCAGGAGAAGCGGCGCATCGATCATCCTGAGGCGGCTGCCTCCATTGACGACTACATCGAGCGATTGCGCCGCTTGAAGGAGATGACCACGCCCTTTCGCCTGCTCCTCGAGGACATCTCCGGCAACAGCTTTGTCGAGAATCCATTTGCCCCCGCCGCCGATCCGCAGCTAAAAACATCGTACTTTGCCCGCAGCCGGCAGCAAAACGAGCAATTGGGTAAGGATCGGAGGTTCGCTAGGTAGCATTGTGCTATGGACTACATTGCCAATTCCATTCCAGGCCTGTACGAGCAGAACCACGAGGAGCAACACCTGCTGAAGCCCATCGCCGAAGATTCGTGGCCCATCGAGAATCTGCACGGCGAGGTGCTGCAGTTCCCCACCAATTGTCCCAACTGCCAGGCGCCATGCGAGACGAACATGAAGCTGACAAACATCCCGCACTTCAAGGAGGTGGTCATAATGGCCACCGTCTGCGGCTCCTGTGGTCACAAGACGAACGAGGTGAAGTCCGGCGGCGGTGTGGAGCCGCAGGGTATCCGTTTCCGGGTACAGATTGCCGGTAAAGAGGATCTGACACGTGATGTACTCAAGTCGGAGACGTGCAGCTTGTCCATCCCGGAACTGGACTTGGAGGTGGGTCCGCACGCTCTGTGCGGACGCTTCACCACCGTTGAAGGCCTGCTTGTGGCCATGCGGGATCAGCTGGACGGCACCTTGTTCCGCGACTCGGCCGACGAGGCGGCAAAGAACCAGATGCAGCGATTCCTCGAAACCTTCGACGACGTGATGAACCTGAAGGAAGTGATAACGCTGGTGCTGGAGGATCCGGCCGGCAACACATATGTGCAATCACTCAGCGACGACGACGCTGAGCCGGATGGAAGGCTGGTTGTGGAGCGGTACGATCGCTCCTTCGAGGACAACGAGGATCTGGGCTTGAATGATATGAAGACGGAGGGCTACGAGCAGGATGCGTGATGATTGGATCCTGGGTGTTGAACTCTGCATTTACACCAGCTTTAGTTGCATACGAGTAGTGTCTAGGCAATAGCAGTTTTAATTCCAAGTCAAATCATTTTGTTTTTTATCCTTGATAATTATATTGTGAAAAATTAAAGGCTCCTTAAATAAATTATAAACTTGTTCATTTATTAAAAGCTTGAAAAATTTTAATATTTAACTATTTTTGCAATTTGTCGATTAATCTTTATTTCAAAACCAATAAAATAAAATACAAACCTACATCTAGTCAGGGTTCTATAAAAAGTCATTTGTTTCTTTTTAAACTTTCGAAAAGTTTAGTTTAAAAAGCCCTTTTCCAATACTTAACATATCGAAATTTGGTCACCTGCAGCGATAACAACTATCGATAGTCAGCAGCCCAGTTGCCAGCTGTTTGGTCTCCGTTTGTGTTGTGTAACTGAACTAAACGCGTTTTATTTTTGGTAAATATGCTGTGCTTAATCTATTAACGTACTAGGTGGACTAACAAAGGGTTACTCCGATCCCACAGAGCACCAAGATGTCCGCATCCGCTGCCCGAGGCTCCACGTCGCTGCTGAAGCGCGCCTGGAACGAGATTCCGGACATCGTCGGCGGATCCGCCTTGGCCCTCGCCGGGATCGTGATGGCCACCATCGGAGTGGCCAACTACTATGCCAAGGACGGCGACAACCGGCGCTACAAGCTCGGCTACGTCGTCTTCCGCCACGACGACCCGCGCGCCCAGAAAGTCCGCAACGACGAGGACGACTAGAGGATCACCCCCCGAAAGTCGGGCTCATCTTTGATTTATTTGTTTACGCTATAGCTAAGTAAAACAAACAACTAAATGTACAGAAGGCAGTGTCCAGTGGTTCACCCTTGGGGGTTCCTTGCCGCTTCCCTTTATCTTCACTAGATCTAGATTCCACAGAGTTTGCAAAGGTTCCACAAGTCCACTTGATTTCATTAACTAGTCAACGAGGATAGTTTAGAGGAATCTCAAGATGTCAGTTCTTTCTCTATCTTATTCTCTTTTATTATATAGCTAGAGTTTTGCAAATCCATTACGTTTCTTTAAAATGCAATTTATTTATAGCTATCCAATACAGATATCTAAATGTACAACATGAAACATGGTTAATCTTAAAGGGATATGGCTTACAATAATATCTGGTCATTTCACACAAGACTGTCTTAACTGAAAACAAATAATTTGCATGCAATTAAAAAATGTAAATTCATACATTTAATGGTAGCTATCTAGTCGTGCAGTTAGTGGGCAAGATAACTAATAGTAAAATGATTAGGTCCATAGGTGGACTAAAGATCCTTGTGCGAGAATTTAAAGTGGAACTTGCAGGCCTTCTCTGTGTGAAAAGTTTCGTTGCAGATGCCGCACTTGAAACCAAGCCGGGGGTCGCTGTTGGTCTTCGTCTCCACGGTAGCAGGTTCAGGTGCTGCAGAAGATTGAAGGTGGATAGGCCTTAGGAACAAGAGAACACTACGGGTATTGCATTGTGATGATAGGGGTTGTTTGGTACATGAACTGGAAGGAAAGGGGTTATCCTAGTTGCTCACCCACTCCCGGCTCGATTTTCGGGATCACTGGCTCCGCCATCTCGATGGGCAGCTGGACATCCTTCGGCTTGGCTTGGTGGGATGGTGTTGTGGTCTGGGACTGGTTTCTGCTGGCCAAGCTGCGCTTCCTGCGCTGCTCGAACTTCAGGGCCACGTTGAACTCGCTGTGGGCGCCCAGCCACTGGTGGCTAAACTCGTAGGCCATTGAGAGCTTCCTCACGCAGATGCGGCAAATCTGCTTGGGATAGTCGTCGGATTGGTCCAGGGGCGGCAGGGAAGCTGGCAGACAGGCCGCCAGCATCTCCGCGATGGGAACCATCTTGTCCAGCGCCCGGACGCTCTCTTCGTAGATGCCTAGTGACTCCAGGCACTCGTTGCCGCACGTCCGGCAAAAGCTCTCGAAGATGTCCATCTTGATTTGTTGTCCGTCTTACACGGGGGGTGCCACAGGAATTCCAAATTTGAATTTTAAAAAATTGGTTGTTTATTGTTTGGAACTCAAATCGATTATAACATCGATCCATCGATATATAATGCAATGAGGGCGATGAATTTTCTGGCATTTCTTTGGTATTTTTTGGTATCTAGCCGCACCCTGGCAACCCTGCCGCCTGTCAATTTGTGTGTGTGTCCAGAAAAGCCGGAGAGAAAAGATTAATCAAAGAAAATGATGTGGAAGGCTCTGCTTATTGCCGTCCTGGCGATAACCCACTGCCAGGCGGTCCTCGAAACGGACGCCAGCACCTTGGTTCTGCTGGACAACCTGGCCATTCGCGAGACGCACTCGATCTTCTTCAAGTCGCTGCAGGGTGAGTTGAAATGCCGGCAAACCTCTGACGTGGACAAAAAAAAGTGAAATATGAGTTAAATTTTTGTTCTTATACTACTCCAGATCGTGGATTCAAACTGACCTACAAGCTGGCCGATGACTCCAGCCTGCTGCTGTCCAAGTACGGCGAATATCTGTACAAAAACGTGATCATCTTCGCACCCAGTGTCGAGGAATTCGGCGGCGATGTCAGCGTGGAGCGCCTGGCCCAGTTCGTCGACGATGGCGGCAATGTCCTGGTGGCGGGCAGCGAGAAATCCGGCGACGCCCTGCGCGAATTCGCCTCCGAGTGCGGCTTTGAGCTGGACGAGGAGAACGCGGCGGTCATCGATCATCTGCACTACGATGTCAGTGATGCCGGCGAGCACACAACCATCCTCACATCGGCCAAGAATCTAATCCAGGCGGATACCATCGTGGGCAAGGCCAACAGGCAGGCGGATGCAGCTCCGCTGCTGTACCGCGGCACTGGACTCATTGCCGACAAAGAGAACCCGCTGGTGCTCAAGCTCCTGACCGCCGAGAGCACCGCATATAGCTACAATCCCGAGGCCAGTGTCTCGGACTATCCGCATGCCGTTGGCCGTGGCACCCTGCTTATTGCCGCCCTGCAGGCGAGGAACAACGCCCGCGTCGTCTTTTCCGGCTCGCTGCTCTTCTTCTCCGACGAAAGCTTCACCACGGCGGTGCAGTACGCCCAGAGCGGTGTGTTCCACAAGCTGGCCGGCAATCGCGACGTGGCCGAGTCCATTAGCCAGTGGGTGTTTGGTGAGACGGGACGCCTGCGTGTGGCGTCCGTGCAGCATCACAAGGAGGGCGAGCTGCTGCCACCGGATCAGGCGTACACCATCACCGATCCCGTCGTCTACACCATCGGTATTGAGGAACTGGTGCAGGGTCAGTGGCGCGCCTTCAAGGCCAGCGACATCCAGCTAGAGTTCGTGCGTATCGATCCCTTTGTGCGAACCTACCTGAAGCAGACCAACTCGGGCGCCTACCAGGCCAAATTCAAAATCCCCGATGTCTACGGCGTCTACCAGTTCAAGGTGGACTACGATCGCGTCGGATACACGCATTTGTACAGCACCACCCAGGTGTCGGTGCGTCCGCTGGAGCACACGCAGTATGAGCGATTTATCCCCAGTGCGTTCCCCTACTACACCAGCGCCTTTTCCATGATGATCGGCGTGTTTGTCTTCTCGTTCGTGTTCCTCCACTTCAAGGACGAGCCCGTGGGCAGGTCCGCCAAGGAGGACAAGAAGTCGCAGTAGTTTACTCACCTCAAATGTAACACACAAATCACTAAAATAAAGGAGTTCCTCGCTTGGAGGACCTAACAATCATTCAAATTTAAAGCATATGCCTTTTTTTACACTACTTTCGGCAAAAAGTGAGGTGAATTCGTTTGTAAAATAAAAAATCTTTATTAATTTTTCTAAATCAATGCCATCCCCTCCAAAGTAATCCCCTCCCGATGAAATGCACTTGTGCCACCGTTTTTTCCAATCCTTGAAACATGCCGAACAAACTATCCGGTATAGCAGCGTCCCATTAAGCGGACTCAGGGAATAGCTCTGCTCAGCCTCTGCCAGCACATGTACAACGTGGGACAGCATGCAAATTACTCACACAAATGATAGAAAAAATGCTTATATTCCATCAGCGTCCTTTTCGATTCAGTTTTTGTCTCCTCTGTCGACTCGAAACGCGTTTCCCGGAGTGGTCTCCTAGTTTTAGGCGATAGCTAGAAGTTTTGACTTTTCGCAGGCCCAAATGGTCTTTCAAAATGGTTTTCACAGATCCTTCTGATATTCCGATCTTATTAGTAAGTTCTCTTACAGTCAACCTACGTTTTTTGAGCACTAATTCCTTCACTTCATTGACGTGTTGGTCATCTGTTGACGTCGTTGGTCGTCCGGAGCGCTCCAAGTCATCAACACGTTCTCGACCCTCTTTGAAGTCCTTGTACCACTTATAAACATTTTTCTGCGACATGGTAGAATCGCCAAAGGCCTTCCGCAACATCCTCAACGTTTCCGCAGCCGAAATTTCATTCCGCAAACAAAATTTGATGGCACTTCTCTGCTCAATTAAATTAGACATTGTAAAAATCGAAGTATGCACTCTTGGTTTGGTAAACTCAAGCGTAATTATATTAGTGATAATGACATTGACTTGAAATTTAGCTCAGATGCTATTAACAGTCCTGCCAACTCAAGATAAAAAGAATTGTTAAGCCCGCGAAGTTTAAATTGAAAATTTGTAAAATACTTTTTGACCACAATATATATTTTGTTAAGCGACTTTTTAAAATAAAAATAATTTAGAGCGTTTTTTTGTCATTTGTAATTTAGAATACCTCTTAACTTTTATTTTTAACATAAAACTCAGAAATGTATTGTATTTTTTAAAATAACGGTTTGTCCCACCTCACACATTTTTAGAAGAGTTGCCACTTAAATGGGATGAAATATCCGATAACATTGTCGATACAAAATCAATAACAGTGTATTTATTATCTGTCGGTATATTTCCGGTATTATTGAAAATAAAACACGGACTAAAAAAGCCAGCTGGTAAAATGTATCGACAATTCCCCGGTCACACTTTTCTGTCATTGTGAAATTTTTTCCCGTCCGAATTTGTTCGAATTTGTTCATTCTCGTGTAAAAAAGTTACGCTTGTGAAAATATACATTTTTTGTCGTGTTCAACGGTGAGTGAGTTGAATTGAGTAGTTCTAAGCGTTGTTCTTGGAGCTGCCGTGATTGTGGGCGGTGGAAGTGTGTGTGCGCTGTGCTCTATTTTTTTTGGTTGCCTCTAATGGAAGTTGGTGTTTGCTGTTGACGGGGCTCCGCCGGCCGTCCAGCGGAGCCCTATTTTCCAACGCGCATACACACACGCACACAGTCTCGCTGGTGGATACACACAAATGCACGAAGATGTGAGAGGTTTCGTATTCGCACGATGGTTGCATTATTGTTGTAGTTGTGGTGCGCTGCTTTTTCCAAAATGGCCGCAACGCAGGAGAGCAGCAACAAATAAAGTTGCAGTCGCAAATTAAATTTGCAAAAAAAAAAGGAAAAAAGCTTGTGCCCGAAAATTGGCGCCAAAAAGAATGAGTAATCGTATTTCTGCTGGCGTAAACAGATAAAAGTAATTTATTTATTTATTTGGCTCGGGTGTTTTGTGTGTGTATACTAAAAACGCATACTAATTCCCCCGAATGCAAATGTGCATGTCTGCGCTTGACATGCGCAGTATGCCCCCTCTCTTTCGCTCCGCCTTCGTGCCCATATATTATTGCATAATTGTTTTTTTTTTTTTTCGGTGCTGTCTTTTGTGAGGATGTGCAGCTGTCACATCTCTGCACGCACACACACACGATGGCTAGCGAAGGAACGACGCAATTAACTGTTCACAATCCTCTCCTCTCTTTCTAATGCGAATATGCACATGTACAAGCATATGACTGTCTCGCTCCAACGTGCCGCCTTTTAATGCGCGCCAAGTTTTTACCGCTCGCTTTTTCCCTCTTTTTGTTTATGTTTACTCTTTTGGCGCCCCAATATATTCCAGTCTTCTTTCATTTCCCCTATATATCATTTTCTCCTCGCCTGCACAAGAAGTAATAATAAATTGGAAACTACAACTCATTACTTCAGCTTGATTGATTCCGCATAAAACGAAAAATGCTCGAGTGCCAGTACACAAAAAGAAGGGGAACACAAAAAACAGCGACTCACGTTGTTTGCTCGCAAAGAAAAGAAATAAGATTTTCAAGTGGTCCTCGATCGTGGAACTTTTACACGGCGAGAAAAGTCTGTATAATTAGGTCGTATTAACTGGAGAAAAAAATAAATTTAAAAATTCGAACATATCGAAAGCTGGGATTCCTTGAGACTTGTATTTCTTGAGTTATCCATAGGTATACCAAGGTGTATATTTAAAAACTATCTAAAATACATTATATTAAGCGATCAAGGGATCCATGATCCATTTCATTAAAAATCTTTTTTAATTCAGTCTTGATCTATAATCTAATAATAATAATAATATATGTATTAAAATAGGACAAATTCTTATGCTGCGTGGTGAATTGGACATTTTGTTAAACCAGTTTCAAAAAATTTGTTTTTGTATTTTCTCTTGTAAATTATGTGTATTATAAAAAATATCTTCGATTTTCCTCAGCGTGTGCTGCCGAGGCACGATTTTTTCTTTTCCCACTCAAGTGGAAGTTTCTCGAGTGCTGCGTTCCCAGAAGATGAAAAAAAATAGATGGGGGGTAAAGGAGGCAGCTGTCTCGACGAATTCACGTTCAACCCTCGTTTTCGTTGTGACCACGAATCTTGGTTCTTCGTCAGTTGGCCGCCAGCGCTTCGGCGCTGTGCATCGGTCCTAACTTTGGCTCACCGCCCCAAATTCACCCGTATATATCCGTCAATATCCTGGCCAGTTGCACCTTCCTGCAGGCTGCTGCACTGCGCCTGTGCTGGCCGAAAAGTTCAGAGTTCGTGAAAATTTTCTCACAGTCGCATTTTGTTTCTTAGCTGGAAAGCATCGCCGTGTTTTTTGTGGTAACTACAAGTGGGGGAAATTAGTAAATCAGACTGAAAACTGAAGTGTTTGGGCTTAATTCATAGTTTGATTAGTTCTGTTCTCGAAATTCCTACAAAGCTGGTTAATTCTAGACCTAAATAACTCAATATTGCATTTTAAGTTGGCACAAAAACTGCATTGTGTCTATCCTAAGTTCAGTTTTATAAATGCATACATACATGCAAACGAGAAAATGCGTGGGCTTGAATAAAAATTACATTTTAGAAGGGTTGTTGGCAAATAATCTAATGTTTGTGCTACCAATTCTCTCTATTATTGCAGTTTAAGAAGATAATATGGCCCGTACTAAGCAGACCGCCCGTAAGTCGACCGGAGGAAAGGCTCCCCGTAAGCAGCTGGCCACCAAGGCTGCCCGTAAATCGGCGCCCTCCACCGGTGGAGTAAAGAAGCCCCATCGTTATCGTCCCGGAACTGTGGCCCTTCGTGAAATCCGTCGCTACCAGAAGTCGACCGAGCTGCTTATCCGCAAGCTCCCCTTCCAGCGACTGGTTCGTGAAATCGCCCAGGATTTCAAGACCGATTTGCGTTTCCAGTCCGCGGCCATTGGAGCTCTTCAGGTAAGGATTTTGCTCTATTACGGAATAGAAAACGCGGGAATATTATAAGGGGTTTAGTATACTATGAGAGTGAACTGGGGGGTTTAAAATGTTACAATCTTGTAATAATGTTCTTGATGGTTTTTACAACTCCTTTCTGTTCGACTTGCAGGAAGCTTCGGAGGCGTACCTAGTGGGTCTGTTCGAAGATACCAACTTGTGCGCCATTCACGCCAAGCGCGTCACCATTATGCCCAAGGACATCCAGTTGGCGCGCCGCATCCGAGGCGAGCGTGCTTAAGCTGGATCAGCATCCCAAGGAGCAAACGGATCGATCCCTGTCGTCCATCCCCGAAAAGACCATTCTGATTTACGTTTTGTTGAGGGAAAGGAGCCTGAAGAAGAGCACCAGCGACACTTTGATCCAATCTATCATTCATATTTACATGTATACATTTATCATCCTTTTGTTGGTCAATCATCGGATCGTCAGAATGCCGATGCGAAGAACACCACACACAAAACAACACACAACATTACTGTAATGCTTAAAATATTTGTAATTCTTATTATTACTATTATATATTAGTTATTAAGTTTTTTTTCTCGCCTGAGCGTCGACGGTTCGTTCGCGCTGATGATGCCGCGCTGCTTTCTAACCCAATTCCGCCGGGTCCACCACCAATTGTTTTGGAGGAGGAGGTGAACTCCACCGAGCGGCCATCGTCGTCTGTCCGCCTGCAACATCCGCCACCAACAACTCCAACAAATGTCTGGCTGGCAGACCCCGGTTTCGAGAAATCCGTTGTCTTTAAGGCGCCTGCTTCTACTTCCTAAAAGGGGAGCTCAACATCTGGCTGCCGGGGCACGCGGAACTGGAGATCGGGGCCAACGTAACGCCAGCTGGACGTGGTAAGGCGGACAGACGATGGCGGACTGCTCGGTGGGGATGCCCCGGATATCTGGAAGGGCGGCGAGGGCGTGGCCATCTGGCGGTCAAACCGAAGACACACGGCATTTAACATATGATGAAGATGATATCCACATATAACACCGAAGACCGAATTGAGTACACTTAACTTTACACTTACGTATATGCATATATACATAAATATATATATATATATATCTAGAAAACGAAAACACTAGACATTAATACTCTCTTTATTTTGTTCACCTTTCGTTACTGCAAATCACAAACAGAGCATATAATATATATATAAATAATATATATATATATATAACGAAGAGGGATGGGCGTGACAGAGTTAGTTGATTAAATAAGATTTTAGATTTACATGCATTTTATACGTTTAGGCGGAAGAAGTAGAGGAGAAAAGATGGAAAAGATATAAAGATGATTCAGCAATCAAATTAATAATACACGTCTATAGATTTGGAAGAGCATCGAATAATAACAGAAACAAAAAACAAAACAGCAAAGCATTGAATATTTCTCAATATTTATATGTAGTTGAAACACATGCAAAGTAATCAATTGTAAACGCCCATAAATATATGCATATATATATATACTTGTAAATTGGTGTCGATAACTAGTTTCACATTGAACATTTAAACAAATCGGGCTAAATATGTGTCTATACCGTATCGTAGCTTTCAAGAACCAATAAACAATTAAAAAAACAGTCCCCCGATAAACAAAAAATAACTAAAAAACAGTGACAGCAACAGCAAAAATAACTGGAAACATCAGCAAAAAAAATAACAAAAAAATAAACGGTTTTTTCTATAGAAGAAACCAAAAAACCCAACACCAACAAAATGTTTTATTTTGTGCGAAAGCGGGATGGAAATAGATGGTGAAAGAGGGATGGCGAGAGGGGGAAAGGTGTACTGTGATGGTACAGTTGGCTCCAAAAATCAAAAGCAAACGTCATTCGCTTTGTTTACGTGTGATAATCTCGGTGCGTGTGTGTGTGTTTCTTGAACGTGTGCTAGTGTTGGTTTGGCTGCTTGCATTTGTGTGTGTCTGGGTGGCTTTGGCGCTTCCCCCTTTTATGTTTTTGTTTTGCTTTTCAAGGCTGCCACCAAGTGGAGCCACCTAGCGGCGACTTTGTTCAACAAGAGCCTGCTAAGGGTTAAGCCTCTGTGGTTCATTTAAAGAACTTAAGCCAAAAGGGTTAAAGATTTAAGTAGCTGTGTTCTTTTTTTAACTACTTTTAAAAATAGCAAAGGTTGAATAAAAGTAATAATTATGTGAAGAAAAAGATATATTTGAATCATTTTTAAATTGCCTTTAAAACTTTTTTAAACATCTTTCAAACAGTTTGCGGGACTTTAAAATATAATGTTCGGTAAAAAAAAACAAATTATATTGATGACAGGAAAGGCAATTATTTTTAATGGTTTTATTTTAAAGTGTTTTCCTGCAAGTATGCTGAGATCTCCAGGCGATTATTCAAGTATTTCCAACTAAATTGCCCTTAACTTGCAAATTGAATCCCGCGGAGTCAGAAAACTTAAACAACAGACATTTTCTTCATTTACATATAAACGTACATTTATTTTACTCGTATATTTAGCATACAGTCCAAAATGCGACGCACACTCAATTATTAAAATATTAAAATTAGGCCTCGCGAAAAAAAAGTGTGTTAAACTTAATTGAGAATGGGTTTTGATGCGGGAGTTGTTCTGGTCGCCTAAAAGGGGTTCAAAGTTGGGGTATTTCTGTCGGTATACAGCGAACAGAGGCGGAGTTTTAGTGGGGACAGCTATGTTACAACACAGGGATCGATGCATGTATCTATAATTTAGGGAGTACAACTAGGATCTGGGTATGAGGAGGTAGGTGGATGGCTCCTCCTCCTGGCCTTAGTCCGCCTCGTGCTTCTCCGTCTCTGTATGCTTGCCAGGCGCCGTTGCCGGGGGTGCAGCTCCGCCAGTTACTGCTGCCTCGCCCAGCGGTGCTCCTCCAACTGGTGGCGGGGCTCCCGGTCCCGCTCCTGCTCCAGGCGTGGGATACACTCCGCCCCCAGCCGTTGCTGCTGCTGCCGTCGCCGCTCCTGGTCCTCCGCCTGGAGCACCTGGTCCTCCACTTGGCTCGTGGAGGTGACTTGGCGGCGGTTGCTGTTGTGGTGGAGGTGGCGGATTGCTTCCGTGCTCGGGTGCATACGGATGTCCGGGATTGCCATTGTGCTGTGGCGGCGGCGGGCGCGGTGACATATAATGTGACCCGGGTGGCGGGCCGTAGGATTGCTGATACGGCGAGAAGGGCGCGTAGTAGGGCTGCGGCGTGGGATGTCCTCCGTACTGAGGCTGGTAGTACGGCCGTGCGGGACCACCCGGTGGACCAGGAGGTGGGCCATGCGGTGGTCCCCCGTAGTTGGCATAGCCCGTGTGCGGAGGTGGAGGTGGCAGGCCCGGCATTCCTGGCGGCGGCTGGTGTGGCCCCATGTGCGGTGGCATTAGGGAATGGCCGGGCGGCGGATGCCCGGGATGTGGATGCATCTGGGGCATGCCTGGTGGAGGAGCTGGACCGCCCTGTTGCTGGGCCAGAGGCACCTGCTGTTGCACCGGCGGTGGCGTTGGTGTCGTCGTCGTCGTTGTCGTCGCCGCAGGACTTGCTGCGGTCACCGCTGGAGCCACCTCTGGAGGCGGCGTGGGCGTCGGAACTGGTGTGGGCACCTTGCCGGGCTGGGCCATCACCTTGGCCGGCTCTGATTTCGGGGGCTCGACGAGCGTAGACTGCGGCGGCAGGGCAGCGGCCATCTCCAGCTTCTCCGGCTTAATGGGCGGCGGCGGCACCGAAGGCTTGGGCGGCGGCTCAATGTCCATGGGCTCGGGATCCGTTTTGCTGGCCGTTTCATGGACATGCACCGATGGTGTAGGAGTGGGCGTCGCGCTCGGTGTGGGATTTGGCGTGGCTGGCTTCACAGCTGGCGGTGTCTCCTTGGGCGGCACTGCAGGCGCTGGCGCCTCCTGGGTAGCGGGCGTGGCACTTGGCTGGCCCGGCTGAGTTGGAGGCTTTGCCGCCTCCTCGCTCCGCACCACAGGAGCGGCAGCAGCAGCAGCGGCAACCGGATTCGTAGAGTTATTTGCACTCGGTTCATCCAATCGCTGGCGATCACGCTTGATGTCCTCGTACATGCGATGCACCATCTTTTGGAAGGTGTCCTCGTCCACTGCCGGCTTGCAGTGGCGCTTTAGCTCCTCCTGGAAGGCCTCGCTGGACTCCACCATGCGCTGCTTCTTGGCCTCGAACTTCTCCTCCATCTGCTGCAGTTCCGCTTCCAGCTTGGTTTGGTGCATCGTCAGCGAGCTGACCTGTCGCTTGAGCACCTGCATCCGCGTGGTGGTCACCACGGATCGCACGTCGGGCACCACGGCTTCCGAGAAGATCTCGTTGATCAGCCGATGGTTCCTCAGGTAGCGGGCGTAGGCCAGGTGTTTGGCCGTGTAGCCCTCGTCCTGATCATCTTCGTCCTCCGCCGGCTGGATATCAATGCGCCGCTCGTGCTGTGACTTACTGCCGCCGCCGCGCGAGGGAGTCTCGTGCATGTCCACATCGGTCTTCACCTTGCTCTTGGCCGACATGTAGGCCTGGTAGGCGGGCGTCTGGTGGTAGGCCTTTAGCGATTTCTCGTACTCGAGCTTCTCCGCCTCGTACTCGTCGATGAACTCGGTCTTCTCATCCTCGGGCAGCAGCTTCCACATGGCCCCGATCTTCTTGCCCAGCTCCCAGAGCTTCAGCTCGGGATGCTGGGCCTTGACACTATCCCAAACGCGTTTCGAGTACCGCATGTACGGCAGGATAGGCTTCTCCGGCGGCTTGGGCGGTTTGGGTAGCCGCGATTCGTTCTGGTTCTTGCTGCTCGACGACTTGGTCACTTTCTGTGGAGTGAAGGCCGGATTGCCGTAGTTGCTGTGCGTGAAGATGGGCGTCTGGTCCTTGTTGCGATCGGCTCCACCGCCTCCGCCGGATGATCGCGACCGGCTACCGCCGCTGGTGCCGCCACCGCTACCTCCCACGACGCCCTGCAGCGGCGTGGCCGAGCCGGGTCCCTGGCCGCCCACGGCTATCTGCTTGTAGTTGCTGGGCAGGGCCATCTTTTCGCGTTTTCCTGGTCAATGAGCGTGGATATTCTCCGATAAAGACAACAATTTTCAGGCGGACGCCATTTTCTGTCGGCGTTGGTGCTAGAGGTGGGGAAACATCGCTGACTTATCGATAGCTTTGCAAATACTAAAATATAGTTTCAGTATTTCACATATGCCATACTGCTGTGATTAAGTTAAAAAATTGTAATGATTTTAAAAGAAAATAAAACACAATAGTAATTAATTATATATATAATATAACAACCACAATTTGTTGCTTCCCACAATATACCAAAATGGTATATGGTAACTGAGAAAAATACCGAAAGTCAAACATTTCTCAGCAAGTTGGCAGCCCCACAGCTGCGATTCTAAAATATAAACAAAACGGAAGGTTTGAAAATGTTTGCCGGTCGTTTGCTCGCCCGCCTGAACCGCAAGCAGACATGTTTGGCCACAATTGGAAGCTGGCGAATGTCTCAGGGACTCGTCGGCCAAGTGAACTTGCCCAGGACACCAACTGCAGGCACACAAGCGATTCAATTGGAGGAACCCAGTGCAAGCCGGCGCTTTTTCAGCAGCCAAATTGAGACGGAATCCACCTTGGACAGTGCCTCCTACGAACGAGTGTGCTCAGACACCCTGGATGGTCTGTGCGACTACTTCGAGCAGCTCACCGAGAACGCCCCCGAGCTCCAGGGCACCGATGTAGCCTACGGCGTAAGTCCTGTCCCTCAATCCGCCTGTTACATCATGCCTTTGGTCTAATCTAAGTGGGTTTCCGTATCCGTTTCTGCAGGATGGCGTGCTCACCGTGAACTTGGGACACAAGCACGGCACCTACGTGATCAACCGGCAGACGCCCAATAAGCAGATCTGGCTCAGTTCGCCCACCAGCGGTCCCAAGCGATTCGACTTTGTGGGCACCGTGGCGGCGGGCAGGTGGATCTACAAGCACAGTGGTCAGTCGCTGCACGAATTGCTGCAGGATGAGATACCCGGCATACTGAATTCCCAATCCGTGGACTTTCTGCACTTGCCCTACTGTAGTTGAAACGGGAGTAGCCTCCTTCCACCATAAAAAGTCTGTTAAAACGTTTTATCTGATATGTGTTTATTGATCTGCTGGGAATTCGGTATCTCCTGTTTGAAACCTTGAAAAAACCACCCCAAAATAAGCTTAATTTCCTTTATAAAAAGTCTCAAGGCTTTGCATTCGATTCATCATATTTATTAGGAGGTGCGGTTTTCAGATCTTATTGCCTGCAATTTTGTTTTGTCTATAAGAATAGTTTGCTGTTAGGTTTAAGTGTTGTGGGAGTTTGAATAAAAGTAAGTAGTCAAATAGCATTCACTTATAAGTTTTACACATGTAGATTTAAAAGGGACTTTAGTAACATGGCTTTTCTTTGGGTTAGTTAGTTATAAAATGGGTGCTTAAGTTATATAATATAAAAATTTACCTCGGTTCTTGAACGTTCTTCTAGGGACATCAAAACATCAGTCTGATATTCCACAATTAATAACTCTTTTGGAGCCACAAACATTTATTGCTCTTTGATTGGTCACAATTTTTACGTTTACTAACTTCAATTCACGAAATTAGTACGTTCATGGAGCTCAAGTTAAATTTAAAACTCGAAACTTGTTCGAGGGTCTTCTTTATTTAAGCTCTAGAATTTATTTTATTATACAACTAGAGAACTAAACGCTCCCAATTAATAAAAACAATTTTAAATTCAACTAGAAACCAGGGCCATTGCTAAACAAAAGTCGGTAAAAAGGTTAACATTCGTGTTTCTTTATTCTTTTGCTGTTCAGATACAATGCTTTGTATTCCTTTTGATTTGCATCATTCAGTTGTAAGCAACAAAAGCAGCATTCGTGTCGGACTTAAAAAAAAAGGTGTTCAAATCACTTGCCAACTAGCAGATACGCGCATACACGGGCACTTCAAGGGATTTTTCTCGTTTATAGTTTATGTTTAAATCATTATGATTTAAAAGTAGTTAGGATCTAAGACTTATTGGCTCTAATGACGTCCCCCAAACATGTTGTTATAATGCGGAGGCGCCTGCTGTTGCTGGGCGCCCAAAAAGTTCTGGGGCATCTGATTGAAGGGCGGCGGCTGCGGCGGTCCATTGTTGGCCCAAGGGTTTATTGGGCCAGGGCCATGGCCACCATAGCCTCCATGGCCAGGTCCGTGTCCATGTCCGGGTCCCATGGCCCCATAGTTCTGCTGCACACCATTGCCCGCATACGGATGATAGCCGCCGCCGCCGCCGCCGTAGGGCTGCTGATTTTGATACTGGCTGGGATCGGGTCCGCCGCTGTTCATCAAGGGCTGGGCTTCCTGGTTAAAGTTCCGGCCCTGCTGCTGCTGCTGTTGCTGTCCAGGATAGCCCGGATTGGGATAGCCCACACCCGACTGCTGTTGGCCATGATTCTGGCCCGGCTTTTGACCCATACTCGGCGCTTTGGTCGGTGTATTTTTCTGCTGGTGCTGCTGGTTTATCATAAAGTTGCGATTACCTCCTGAGGAGCCGCCACTCGATCCTCCAGAATTCCCGCCCTTGCTTAAAGTGCCCATCAGATTGGCTATAATGCTTTCGGTGTCCTTCAGCGAGATCTTGGAGGCAGCAGCTGGCTTGAAAGTAAGAGCATTTGGTGATGATTCCACGGGTATAATGGGCGCGTTTCCGGACTTTTTGGAGCCGCCACCACCACCGGCGCCGCCGTTACCATTCGAATCGCAGGCCTTCATTACCAAATCGTCAAAGTTATAGTCGTCTTCGTCGTCATCGTCGTCAATCATGAAGCTGGGCGTGTTTCGGCCGCGTCGCTGCTTATTGATAGGCAGGCTGGACATATCGCGATCCCGTTCACGATCCGTGCTGGGACGTCGCGTGGTCAGCGAGGAGAGAGCTACAATCTTGGTGGCGGCCGAGGAGGCGATAGCGGCGCCGGAGGAGGAGGAGGCCATGCCCCCCTTTATCAAAGCCGTGGACTTGGATTTCTCCACCGGAGCCTTCGTTGCTCCACCAATGTTCACCACGCGCGACAGGAAATCACTGCAGGACTCGCCATCACCACTCAGCTCCGCCAGATTCACATACTTGCGCAGGCGCTCCACGCGCGACGGCTCCTGGACCTCCAGCTTGCGCAGATGGCCAATAAGATGCACCTGTTCCTCGTTCGATAAGAACTTGAAGTTCTGCAGTAGGGTCTGAAGATCGGAGTCGGTCAGTGACTCCATGCCGTTGCTGCCGCCACCGCCGACGGCGGCATCCGGTTGAGTCTTGGCCGCTGCTCCCGGACCGGCGACAACCACGTCTAAGGTCTCCTTGTTCAGCTGGTTCTCCACCTCCTTCATCAGCTCGTCCAGATCGATGCCCATATTATCGGCCGGCGTCTCCTTTTGCAGGCCAAGCTTCGACTGAATCTCCCCGAAGGTCAGGCCATTATTATTATCCACCTGACGGCGCTGTTTGTCCGTCTTCACCAGCAGCGCGAGCAAGTGCAGCAGATTGTTCATGTCGCCGGTGCTCACATCGTAGTAGCCCTTGAGTACCAAAGCATTGGCCAGCTTGGGGGCCACCACATTCCGGTCGAAGGGCAGTTGAATGGGCGCCGGATTGGCATTCGCCTTGACCTTGGCCTCGATGACATCGGTAATACCTAGATCATCCAGACACGGTTGGGGTGGGGAAGGGAACAACACAAAAGAAAACAATCAGTAAGGATTGGCAAGCGTGTGTATTCAGAGATCTCTGCAAATGGAGCCTCGGCTTCGGTATCGCACGGAACTACGAAAATTACATTTATACTTATGTGAATGTGGTGTGGTTTGGATTGGCGACTGGACTGCTGGCGGTTTGTTGGCACACTTTGTTCACACACCCATCAAAAATAAGGGAAAGCTGACCGGAAATCGAATATACCGAATATTTACAGGCGCATGTGCTTTCTTGCTGAAAGTCACAGCGATTCGCCAATGTTTTGTATGATAAAACTTCGTAAAACTCTACGCAATTATGTTAAAAATTGAAAAACAAGCCCCCAACATAGAAGTTCTTAACATGTAAGGCCTGCCCAATCAAAACGTAACCTTTTTTCCTTTATTTTTAGCAGGTCTGCATCAAATGACCTTCATAAGGCGAAATTATATTAAGAACTTTGGGGAAAACCAGATTATCGAAAAAATTAATACACTTGATCTGTGAGAAACCCTTAACCATGGAAATCAATCCAGAAAATCCCAACAATTACCACAACAAGCAACAATTCAAAACACGCTTACATATTATACCATTTTTAAACCCTGTAGGCGAACCGAGAGATACAGTTATTTCACCTAACGATCGAAATACCTGACCCAGAATTCAAAGAAGTGTTTATTTATTTCGGGTTCTCGTTGAACAGTTTTGTCGTTTATGATATAGTGAGAAAGAACCAAAATGATATGCGATATAAGTTATATTATATCATAGATATATAACCCCAGTTTGTACCAAACAGCAGCCAAGATCATTTATTTCGTAAATGCTAATATTAAGGAAACTTATTGTGAAAAACACTTAATTTTTTTAGTGTTAAACCGCAGAGGTTAGTAGACAAAAATAAGGAAAATCTAATTTATATTTCTTAATCACCAACACATAAACAGGTTTCATTCGAAAACGACTTTGAATATTTTAAAAATCCGAATCTAAAGTATTCAACCGATTGGCACAAAACTCACATTACTTCAAAACGGAGGAGTTAAACTTTGGAACTTCACTAATAAGGAAAGGACTTATCGAAAAAAAAACGGACAATCGCGGCCAAGTAAATCAGGGGCAAAGGCCATCCGGATGGCCACCTTTATTCTCTACACTCATACTTACCTTCTGCTCCTCTAACCTCTAACCACGATCGCGATAAAGAGAGAGATAGAAGTACGTGTGAGCTGGGATATGGATAAATGGGTAGCCTTACCTCGGGTGCTCGCCTGGAAGATGATGGCTGCTATGTTGGTGATCAGTTTCTTGACAACGCGCACCTTTTGCGGATCGTCCAGCACCTCGGCGATGAGGATGCCCTTCAGCTTCTCCTTGGTGGTCTCGAGGAACACACAGTTATCGTCGTTCAGCAGCAGATCGTCGGCGGCATTCGGCTTGACCATCTCCATGGCCAGCGCCTTGCTGAGCAGATTGAGGGCCTTTGGCCCCAGGCTGCCCAGGTGCTCCTCGACGGCGGAGAGCATGCGCAGCACACTGACCACGGTCAGTGGGCCCTCCTCGACGGGCTCCGAGGGCTCCTTCTCCTTGATGGACGAGACGGTTGGCGAAATCGAGCGCACCTTGGCCATGTTGTATTCGGGATAGACGCGAGAGTCCAGAACGCGGAATGTCTCGACATGATCGTAGTTGCGCGGTGGCCCTCGGGCATAGCCCTCTGTGCGGGAATAGTACTCGGCAGAGCGCTCCCGCTCCAAGCTGCGGCGGTCCCCATAATCCCTGTGGCCGGGCGACGGGACTCGCTCTCTGGAGGGGTGGCCACGATGTTCGCGCTGCCGATAGTAGAGCGGCGACCGGGATCTGCGCCTCAGACTGCGGGAACGCGATCGTGAGCGCGATGATCCACGCCGGTAGTTGTGACGCGGCGAACGGCTGCGCGAACGCCGGATGGGACGACGTCCTCCTGCGCCACGCTTCGGAGACAACGAGCGGGATATGGAACGTCGACCAAAGGGAGCGCGACCACGTGTCGGCGGACTGGTCACCTCATCATCGCTAATATCAATGACAGCTTCAGGTGCTGCAGCCGCACCACCGGTCGCCCGATTGTTGCGAAAGTTCTGCTTGTGGCGATTAACAACGCTGGCGCTGGACGGCGCCTCCCTCGGGCTGGCCACACGGATCTTGTAGCGCTCCATCAGCTCCTTGGTCTTCTCCTCGTCCTCGTCGCCCAGCTTGAACTTCTCCTTGAGATCCTTTTTGATTTTATTCACCGATATGTTAAACAGCTCGATGCGGCGATCCTTCCAGTAACTAATCCACTCCGGCTTGTAGTCGTACTGATTCGGATCGCACTTCTTCTCCTCCTGCAGCTGCTTGTAGC